GGGCTCAGGTTGCATTCCAGCTGGTGGTCAGTGGTTTGCTCTTCTCCACACTCGCATGTCGAGGATTCCACTTTGTGGCCCCATTTCTGAAGGTTGGCTCTGCATCTCGTGGTGCCAGTCTGTTCAGCGCCTTCCAAGTCGCCCAGTCCTCTGTGTGCCCAGGGGGGAGTCTCTCATTTGGGTTGAGGTGCTGGGTTTGAGCCTGCCACTTTTGGACTCTCGCTTGCTGAGGTGTTCCAGCGAGTGTTTCTGTAGATCTTAGAAAACTATTTCTAGATTTAAGTCGTTGACATGCTGGCTGATACCAAACAGGGGATGAGCTGGAGATGTCTCTGCCTTGGTCCTTTCACTATTGGCTGCTACTTCCCTGCGGATGTCAGGTGATGCAATGCCGGCTAAGCAGTGTAATTCCTCCAGTGGTGTAGGGTGCAGACAAATAATGCGGCATGTCTCATTCAGAGCCACATCCACTGTTTTAGTGTGGTGAGATGTGTTCCACACTGGGCATGCATACTCAGCAGCAGAGTAGCACTGTGTCTGGTTGTGATCCCCAGGTTGTGCCAGTCAGCTTTCGTATGATATTGTTTCTAGCACCCACTTTTTGATTGATGTTCAGGCAGTGCTTCTTGTAGGTAAGAGCACGGTCCAGAGTGACTCCCAGGTATTTGGCTGCGCTGCAATACTCCAGTGGGGTTTCTTCCCAGGTGATCTTCAGAGACTTCATAAATTGTGTAGCATTGTGCCTTAGGCCCTTCCTTCTATGTGTTTTATCAATAAACTGTTTATTACCACTTGTCTGAACGCATCCACCCCTACATCCCATCTAAGATCATCCGGGGAGGCCCTGCTCTCACTCCCGTCAATAGCACAGATGCGTCTGGCGGGGACGAGAGACAGGGCCTCCTCGGCTGTGGCCCCCCGCCTATGGAACACACTCCCAAATGAGGTAAGATCCGCTCCCTCCCTCCTGGCTTTTAGAAAAAAAAATAAAATCATGGTTTTGGGACCAGGCCTTCGGGAAGTAGAAGTAAATGTATGCAGCATTTCAGAAAGATAATGAGTGGAACGGCGATTCGACGAACGAGACTGTTTCATTGTTTTAATGATTGTTTTTGTTGGGTTCAGCCTGCGTGTGAACCTGAACCTGATTCTCTGATTGTATTTCCTGATGCAACTGAACAGGCTACTGAACATGTTTTTTCTCCTGATGGTTTGGAAACTGTTGATTCTGAGGTTAGTGGCTTGGAAAGTGAAACTGCATTTCCTGATGGGAATGTTTCAGAATCAAGCGATGATAGCTCTCCAGAGGAGCTAGCACCTGCCTTTTTTTTAATGAGGATAGAAAAGGACAGATTTGGAAAAACAGGAGTGAATCGCAGAGTCTGCGAAGATCAAGCAGATTAAAGGAAAGGGAGACACAAGCTTCAAAGCCTGGAGGCGTGTCCCAAAACAGTTTCTTTAGTTTAAAGTGTCTCTCCCCGGGATGTCTCGTTAGATCAAGTATCGTTTAGACTGAGGCATTACCTTGGCAGATTTCCCGTTTTCCATGGCCTGCATTCCCAGAGGCTTCTAGTTTACAAGTACGGTTAGTGAAATGCTAACAGGTTCCAGGTTTTCATAGTGTTGCTTTTGGAATTTTGATCTAGTTCAGAGATATTCCTGACTGCTGAACTTTACTGTGGCTTTTTGACTTTGTCTTTTCCTCTATTTTGTAACCATTTTTCATCAATAAAAAAGGATTGTTTTTTCCCCACATTCAAGTGTGGTGGATTAATATCTTATGGTCTTGTTTCCTGATCTGGGTTGCAACAGTTTTATTGCTTGTGGATGTACTGTTTTTAACTTGATTTATGTCTAATTGTAGTGTATAACTATAATTGTTTGTACTGGCATTGAATTTTGCCATTACGTATGTGTAACCCACTTTGAGTCCCACTTGGGGTGAGAAAAGCGGTATACAAATACTGTAAATAAATAAACAAACAAACAAATAAATAAATCTGGTTTCCTGGTGAGTGCTATGAGCAAGGTGAACTCCTGCTGAGATGCTGCAGATCGAGCAATAGTAGTTAAAGTGGTATGAAACTGCATTAATTCAGCAGTGCAGACACATTCCGAAGTCACTATTTTAATTTTCCCTTTGTGCCCACAATATGGGCCGAATTTGCGCTTCAAAGCTTAGGCCTGGAATCCTGTTGTGTTTCTTTCAAGCCGAGGAAGTCTATAAACATTATAAAACTTTAAAACTACAATCATCTTCATCCTCATTAAAATGTCCAGCAATAAAAAAGTAATCATATTTATAGTCAATATAAAACTCACTTTTTCTCAGAACCCTACAGATGGAAGCCATAACAGCGTTCTTTCCCGCAATGGTATACTTCCCCCTCTGTCCACACACAAACACATTAAAGATGTCATTCATTGCTAATTTTGTTCTCAAAGGAAACAAAATGTGACCCAAGCAATAATTTATCTTCACTGCAAGAAGGTTGTTGAAAGCATTGACCTTTTGGAAGACTATCTGCAGTTTGTGCAAGATTTGTACATAGTAGTTTTGTGCCAGAAAGAGTATTTTCCGTTCAGAAGACAGTATTTCTGTGCAGGAAATTCATTTTTCTGTGCAGAAAACACTTCTCTCTCTCTATATAGTCAAAGGCTTTCATGGCCGGAATCACTGGGTTTTTGTAGGTTTTTCCAGGCTATATGGCCATGTACTAGAGGCATTTTTTCCTGATGTTTCACCTGCATCTATGGCAAGCATCCTCAGAGATAGTGAGGTCTGTTGGAATTAGGAAAAAGGGTTTATATATCTGTGGAATGACCAGGGTGGGGACACAGAAATGCTGGACCACTCTCACAACCACCACGTCAGACTACACAGAGAAGCCATTGAAATCCACAAGCATGTGGACAATTTCAACAGAAAGGAGGAAACCATGAAAATGAACAAAATCTGGCTACCAGTATTCAAAAACTCTAAAATTACAACAGCACAACAACAGAGAGGAAACAAACAAGGACATCTAATCACCTCTCAACAAAAGTTTGCTCCAGGCACTGTCAGGCCATTATATGCTAATCAAGGTGGTCAGTTGAAACATTCACACCTAGCTCCAGCAGACAAGAGTCCTTTGTCCCACCCTGGTCATTCCACAGATATATAAACCCTTTTTCCTAATTCCAACAGACCTCACTACCTCTGAGGATGCTTGCCATAGATGCAGGCGAAACGTCAGGAGAGAATGCCTCTAGAACATGGCCATATAGCCCGAAAAAACCTACAACAACGCACAAAGCTGATTGGTAGGGCTGTTGTCAAGCACTTTAGAATGGTTGTGGATAGTGAGATCCAAGCCACGGTGGGCTTAGCCTGGTGAGAAAAGAGTTGTCAATATTCCAGGATAAACTTCACCAAGTTGAAGCAGAAGCCATGGAAGTCTGACTTGTCCATGGTGATCCACGCTATGGTTACATCCCATATAGGCTGCTGCAACGCTCTCTATGTGGGGTTGCCTCTGAAGACTGCCTGGAAGCTTAAACTAGTCCAACGTGTGGCAGCCAGATTACTAACAGTACCAGGGTACAGGAAGCATACTACTCCTCTGCTGCGCCAGCTCCACTGGCTGCCAATTAGCTTCCGAGCATAATTCAAAGTGCTGGTGCTGACCTATAAATCCCTAAAAGACTCCGGCCCAGTTTACCTGTCCGAACGGATTCTCCCCTATGAACCATCAAGGTTGTTAAGATCTTCTGGAGGGGCCCTGCTCTCAGTCCTACCACCCTCGCAATAGCGTCTGGTGGGGACGAGGGACAGGGCCTTCTCGGTGGTGGCCCCTTGGCTCTGGAACTCTCTCCCGTTGGAGATTAGATCTGCCCCTTCCCTCCTGACTTTCAGAAAGCTGGTAAAATCTTGGCTTTGGAATATAGCATTTGCAGAATGATGATTGAGTCAATAACGGCTGACCACACTGGCGGATGGTGATGAATTTGTGATTTTACTCTGACGACCTGGCTTTTGTAATTGTATGATCTGTATTTTAATGTATTTTTGTATTAATGTATTATGATGCTATTATGTTTATTTGATGTGTGTATGAATTTTCTGCTGTTAGCCGGCCTGAGTCCCTCTTCGGAGGTCGAGAAGACCTGGTTATAAAAGCTCTAAATACATAATAATAATAAATAATAATGGAGGTATTTATTTCTGTTCCAGCTGGAAAAGGATGGCGGCTGCATTCATCTGCTGAAGAGCCACCATCCCCCAGTATAAGAAATTTGGGTTTGGTGGGCATTGACCTTGAGTTTTGGAGTTGTAGTACTCCTACATCCAGAGAGCACTGTGGGCGCATACCATGATGGATCTGAACCAAACATGGCATGAATACTCAATATGCCCAAATGGTGGAGTTTGGGGAAAACAGACTTGACATTTGGGAGTTGCAGTTGCTGGGATTTATAGTTCATCAAAGAGCATTCTGAATTCTACCAACGATAGAATTGGGCCAAACTTCTGACACAGAACTCCCATGACCAACAGAAAATACTGTGTTTTCTGATGGTGTTTGGTGACCCTTTTGCCACCCCTCATGACCCCCCCCCCCCAGGGGTCCTGACCCTCGGGTTGAGAAACACTGCTCTAGAGACTGAGACACAATGGAGGAATTGGTGGAGGCTCTTTCTCTGGAGGCTTTTCCAACAGAGACTGGATAGTCTCTTCCTGTATCACAGAAGAGTATGATGACCTTTGGGGACCTCTTCCAACTCTAGGGGAATATGGGCTCCTATGGTGGAGTTTCCTCCTTCTCTGAAGGTTTTTAGGCAGAGGCTGGACAGCCATCTGTGAAGAAGGATCAGATTGTGTTTTCCTGAATGGCAGAAGGGGTTGGGTGGGATGGCTCTAGGATTCTGTGATTCTCCTCTGGTTTTTTTGCCAGGTTCCTTGGACCCTTAGAAGAGAGTAGGATACAAATTGTTGAAAACAATCATGACGTTCTTACCTTCTCCTTCTGGTGGTCTATAGGGATTGTACTTTGGTTTGGGGGCCACAACTGGAGCAAACTTTTTGGGTGTCTGCTGTGTGGATATGGAGACGCTGGGGGTCCCAAAGGCATGCGTGGTCTCCATCCTGGCTGTGACGTGGCCGACGGGCTCCCCCGAGTTCTTTGGTGGCAACCATGATGGGTGAGACATCTCTTGGGTTGCTAAGAAGAAGGGGAGAAGAAGACAGACAGATATAAACATACATATACATATTCAAGTAATTACACATAAATGCATATAATAGCATCAGAGAAGGGGAAAGTAACCCCCAGGGTCATCCAATCCAACCCCCTTCCACCACTCAGGAAACGCAAGCCAAGCCTTCCTGACAGATAGCCATCCAGCCTCTTTTTAAAAACCTCCACCAGACTTTAGGCAGCAGCATATTTCATTGTCAAACAGCTCTCAGAGTGAAAATGTTTTTCCTAATTTTGAGGCTGGTCTTCTTTTCCTGGAGTTTGAATCCTTTCACCCGTTATGTGCTGAAAAGAAAAAAATTAAGTGCAAAGACACAGAATGGAGGATGATGCCTGGCTTGAGAGCAGTCCGTGTGAAAAAGATCTTGGAGTCCTCGTGGACAGCAAGTTAAACATGAGCCAGCAATGTGATGTGGCGGCAAAAAGACCCAATGGGATTTTGGCCTGCATCAATAGGAGCCTAGTGTCTAGATCCAGGGAAGTCATGCTCCCCATGCTCTATTCCACTTTGGTTAGGCCACACCTGGAATATTGTGTCCAATTCTGGGCACCACAATTCAAGAGAGATATTGACAAGCTGGAATGTGTCCAAAGGAGGGAGGCTAAAATGAGCAAGGGTCTGGAGAACAAGCCCTATGAGGAGTGGCTTAAGGAGCTGGGCATGTTTAGCCTGAAGAAGAGAAGGCTGAGCGGTGACATGATGGCCAAGTATAAATATATGAGGCAAAGTCATAGGGAGGAGGGAGTGAACTTGTTTTCTGCTGCCCTGGCTTCAAACTACAAGAAAGGAGATTCCACCTGAACGTTAGGAAGAACTTTCTGACTGTGAGAGCCGTTCAGCAGTGGAACTCTCTGCCCCGGAGTGTGGTGGAGGCTCCTTCTTTGGAGGTTTTAAACAGAGACTGGATGGCCATCTGTCATGAGTGGTTTGAATGCAATATTCCTGCTTCTTAGCAGAATGGGGTTGGACTGGATGGCCCACGAGGTCTCTTCCAACTCTAGGATTCTATGATTCTAATGTCGGGATGCATGCTTCATTATTATTTATTTATTATTTATTTACTATATTCATGTACCGCCCCTCTCAGCCCAGAGGCGACTCAGAGTGGTTCATAAATTGGCAACAATTTTGATGCCTCAACAATTATAACAAGTAAAAACAATCAAGAAAATCAAGAAATAAAAACCGTACAAAGCCTTAAAACATTATCGTGAGCGTCTCCATGTCCAATTGTTATTCCATTGCGTTATCAAGTAGGTCCATAATTCCGTTTAGTTATGCCGTATTTGGGAAGGCATGCTCAAAATGCCAGGTTTTCACCTTTTTTTTTCTAAAATTCAGGAGGGAGGGAGGCAATCTTATATCTCTAGACAAGGCGTTCCACAGTCAAGGGGGCACCACTGAGAAGGCCCTGTCTCTCATCCCCTCCAGACACATCTGCGAAGTAGGAGGAAGTGAGAGCAGGGCCTCCCCAGAAGATCTTAATGTCCTAGATGGTTCATAAGGAGAGATACATTACTTTGAGTATCTGATTCCACTGCTTTTCAGTAAGTGGAAAGTTTTTCTCTATGATTTTATGATTAGGATTTAATTCGATCAACAGCGCTTCAAGTATGACTCAATGCTATGGAATCCTGGGGATTTTAGTTTTACAAGACCTGTAATTTTTGGTTGCTGTGAGTTTTTTGGGCTGTGTGGCCATGTTCCAGCAGCATTCTCTCCTGAAGTTTGGCCTGCATCTGTGGCTAATGGTATCTTCAGGGGTTCTGTTGGCAGTGATGCAAGTGGAGAGAGAGAGAGTATACACACACACACAAGCCGTCCCCTGCCACTCGCTGCTGTGGCCCAGTCAGTGTATATGTCTTATGTGTGTATGTATATATGTGAGTATATATTTGTATATATGTGTATATAAGTGGTTTTGTGCATGTGCTGTAATGTATTTTTCTCAATTTTTGGCTTTTTAAGTCTCTCCTATTGTGTTTTTCAATGTTTTTATGAGTGATGGTCATTCGTTGGCCTAATAGGTGTGTCCAACTTTGGTGTCAATTCGTCCAGTGGTTTTTGAGTTATGTAAATCCCACAAACGTACTATATATATATATAGCCGCCCTGAGTCCCCCCCCCCCCCCCCCGGGGTGAGAAGGGCGGGGTATAAGTAAATGAAATAAATAAATGAAATAAAATACACACACACACACACACACACCGTCCCCTGCCACGCGTTGCTGTGGGCCACATGGGGGTTCTGTGTGGGAGGTTTGGCCCAATTCTATCTTCAGAATGCTCTCTGATTGTAGGTGAACTATAAATCCCAGCAACTACAACTCCCAAATATCAAGATTCTATTTTCCCCAAACTCCACCAGTGTTCATATTTGGGCATATTGAGTATTCGTGCCAAATTTGGTCCAGATCCCTCATTGGACCAGTCCACAGTGCTAGTGCTCTCTAGATGTAGGTGAACTACAACTCCCAAACTCAAGGTCAATGCCCAGTGTTTTCTGTTGGTCATGGGAGTTTGGTCCAGATCCCTCATTGGACCAAGTTTGGTCCAGATACCTCATTGGACCAGTCCACAGTGCTCTCTAGATGTAGTGAACTACAACTCCAAAACTCAAGGTCAATGCCCACCAAACCCTTCAAGTGTTTTCTGTTGATCAGGGGTGTCCCGTGTGCCAGGTTTGGTTCAGTTCCATCGTTGGTGGAGTTCTAAATGCTCTTTGATTATAGGTGAACTATAAATCCCAGCAACTACTACTCCCAAATGATAAAATCATAGTTTTTTGAGTGATGGTCACTCCTTGTGTTGTGAGACATTTTGTTGCCAAATTTGGTGTGATTTTGTTCATTGGTTCTTTTGTTTTTAAGGTACTCATTACGCATAGAGTATGTATGTATATATATATGTATATATGTATATATGTATATATGTATATATGTATATATGTATATATGTATAGATAGATAGATAGATAGATAGATAGATAGATAGATAGATAGATAGATAGATAGGGAATAATGTCTTGGGGGGAAAACCCTTGTCTGTTCAAAGCAAGTGTGAGTGTTGCAATTACTGACGATTAGCTGCGCAGTCAATCAAATACAGGCGAAACATCAGGAGAGAATGCTGCCGGAACATGTGTCTGAAAAGCCTGAAAAGTCACAGCAACTCAGTGATTCTGGTCATGAAAGTCTTTGATAACACTTTCTTTGTCAAAGAGTGTTGATGCCTCACCAAACTACAAATCCCAAGAGTCCACAGCATTGAGCCATAGGGATTAAAGTGGTGTCGAATTGCATTCATTCTACTGTGTAAATGCACCCCAAAGAATCATTTGTGCCAGAAAACCAAGGTCAGCTTGGCAGACAATCCTCCAAAATGGGAGAAAATATGATCTGAGATGAGGTGGTGAGATGAACAGAGTACAAGTTCCATGTTTTTTTAAAGAGTACGGCTTGTTCACTTAGTCTGTGGGGAAAACAGATAGATTTTCATGCCAAGGATTCCAGATATGCTGTGGGATATTTTTCCCCCCACAGCAAAGCATCATGACTAACATGGTTTTTATCGGGCTTCCTTTATAGTCCAGGGCTGCCGTAATAACCACAATAAATACTCCGGAATACAAAGCGATGGTGAAAACCTTGTTGGTGCGGCGGAGAAAAATAATCTGGCTTTAGACAAGGAATGCAATGAACCTCAAGAGAAAGGATTTCGACACATGGTGCCGGTTATGGGGATTATTTCTTGGCAGCGTGCGGAGCGGCAGCCTCGTTATTCACTGCCCACTTAACCACATCAGATTGCAAAAGCTTCCACAGGCTCATAATGAAGAAGAAGGCTCACCAAAGGGCACAGAAAAGATTAATCTTCCCCAAAATGGATTGCAAAGAGCAGGGACCCCAAGTGAGGGAAGGAAAGCTTGAGAGAAGCAGGATGGAAAGAGTGCGAGTGGGACTCTAAGAATGAAGTTTGGTTCCTCGTAAATATTCAAGGTGAACATGAGCCAATAGTGCAATGTGGCAGCTATTTATTTATTTGTCGTGCCAGGGCAACCAGTCAATTATATTACAATTCTAACAGAACAAAGCAAGCAAACAGGCAAAATACAAAACTTGTGAGTTTGGTAATTGATTAAATGTCCTTTGAGCAGTATCTGGCCACTTGGTGTGCTTCTGGTGTTGCCGCAAGAAGGTCCTCCATTGTGCATGTGGCAAGGCTCAGGGTGCATTGCAGCAGGTGGTCAGTGGTTTGCTCTTCTTCACACTCACATGTCATGGATTCCACTTTGTAGCCCCATTTCTAAAGGTTGGTTCTGCATCTCGTGGTGCCAGAGTGCAGTCTGTTCAGCGCCTTCCAAGTCGCCCAGTCTTCTGTGTGCCCAGGGGGGAGTCTCTCATTTGGTATCAGCCATTGGTTGAGGTTCTGGGTTTGAGCCTGCCACTTTTGGACTCTCTCTTGCTGAGGTGTTCCAGCGAGTGTCTCTGTAGATCTAAGAAAACTATGTCTTGATTTAAGTCGTTGACATGCTGGCTGATGCCCAAACAAAGGGATGAGCTGGAGATGTCTCTGCCTTGGTCCTTTCACTATTGGCTGCTACTTCCCGGCGGATGTCAGGTGGTGCAATACCGGCTAAGCAGTGTAATTTCTCCAGTGGTGTATACTGCTACAACAAAAAAAGAAAGAAACATGTCTCATTAAGAGCCACATCCACTGTTATAGTGTGGTGAGATGTGTTCCACACTGGGCATGCGTACTCAGCAGCAGAGTAGCATAGCGCAAGGGGAGATGTCTTCACTGTGTCTGGTTGTGATCCCCAGGTTGTGCCAGTCAGCTTTCGTATGATATTGTTTCTAGCACCCACTTTTTGCTTGATGTTCAGGCAGTGCTTCTTGTAGGTCAGAGCACGGTCCAGAGTGACTCCCAGGTATTTGGGTGCGCTGCAATGCTCCAGTGGGAT